TCGCCGGCCCCGCGTTCTGCCACGCGATTGGTCCGTAAGTAAAAGGGACGATTCCGCGGGTCCGCCAATCAGGGTCTCGTTACCAAGGCGACAAATCAACAAATCTCAGCCGCAAGAAACGTGCACGTAATTACGCCGTTCAATTAAACAGTTGGTACTAAAGCCAAAGTGTTCTATACCCTCCTATTAAAACAAAATAAGATTTAACTTTCTATTTTGATATATATATATATATATATATATATATATATATATATATATATATATATATATATATATATATATATATATATATATATATATATATTATATATAATATATATAACACAAGACACAAGAGAGAGAGACAGAGAGAGACAGAGAGAGAGAGAGAGGAGTTAAGACCAATATATATATATATATATATATATATATATATATATATATATATATATATATATATATATATATATATATATATATATATATATAATAAAGAGAGAGAGACAGAGAGAGACAGAGAGAGAGAGAGAGGAGTTAAGACCAATATAATATATATATATATATATATATATATATATATATATATATATATATATATATATATATATATATATATACATATATATTGGTCTTAACTCCAGAATCCGTATTGACACAAGTGCAGAGCAACAACAGAAGAGCATCTCTGGCGCCCATGCTTGGTCATTGCCAGGGAGAGGGCCGCTGGTATGCAGGGGGGATTTGGTGACAGTGTAAGGTTTCAAAAGGGAAATACTGAGTACTGGATCCATCGTCAGTGGACCCTGCCTTGTACAGTGTGTGCATGGCGAGGTATACAGGGCTACTATAGAAGCACTAGTTTGCAGCTAAAGCCAAACACCTCACCAGGTAGGTTTTTGTATTTCGTGCGTCTTCCGTTGTACACCAATTCAACAAAATCAACAAAGCAGATGAAGACAATAGTCTTTCTATGTACAGTGTATGAAACATAAACCAATACCTACTGGTACTTCTTTCTTTACACTATTTATGGTTTATGCACGATAATAAACTGCCAATACAGTATTTTTAGTCAGTTGACTTCTCATGTCCTTTTTAGGATTATCTATTCCTACCACCGACTCGTTTAAATAATGAGATTCATGGTTGAAGACGTATTGCATTACAATCTCGATACGTAGGTATCTGGCTAACGTATTATATTCCATGCAAATGAATGGGATACAATACACGCAGCTATGAACTGTGGCTACTGTGGCTCCAGAGCCAACCTCAAGCTGTCGATGTTTGTCATTGTAATAATTAATACGGTAAGCGTAATCATTACCTTTTCTGGTCACTGTTTAATGTGAGACACGTCTCCAAGTTCTCCAAAGTGTGACACTTTGAAACAGATTGTTATCTTGCAGCAAGTCATTCATTCTCATTCGTCCTTTCGTCTGTCCGTCTGCCGCGCCGTCCCGCCCCCCTCGACAGGAGCAGCCAATGAGAAGGGTTCAGCAGCCGAGCACAGCCAAAGCGTCCCGGACGACAAGCCAGCTGGGGAGGGCGGAGCTAAACCCGAGGACCATGCAGCTGCAGGGGCCTCGGACCCAGCAGCAGCAGCAGCAGCAGCAGCAAAAGCAGAGGCCCACCCCGCTGCCGAGGCCCACCCCGCTGCCGAGGCCCACCCCGCTGCCGAGGTGAAAGCTGCAGAGGTGAAACCTGCAGAGGTGAAACCTGCAGAGGCTGAAGTAGCACCAGCAGAGGCGGCCCCTGTAGCGGTGGTGGCCCCCTGTGGAAGCGGCTAAAGCGGAGGCAGCTAGTCCCTCAGAGAAGGCCGCGAGTTCCTCGGAGCCGGCACCAGCTCCAGGTAAATTTGTAGCAGTGAAACAGTGACACAAGGAAAAAGTGAAGTAGTGAAGCAGGGTGTTTCACTTGCAAATGACTTGATTTGACTGCTGCCAGACTCAACTCTCCTCACCCCACCTAACTCTTAGCTGTCACAGCGGCTCAGAGGTTAGCACGCACACTTTACCATAATAAGAGTTAAAATTAGGCCTTCTCTGTCGAGTCAACGATGTGTTATTCAGCGTTTGTGTACCTTTCAGACTTATTAGATTAATATTTAAAGTCTGATGGCACACAAGCTCAAACCCGGGTGATCGGTGGGTTTCACTTTCTTTTGTTTCATATCTAAGCCCACCCCAAATTGACTCTCGTTTTGGGACGAGTGTTTTGCCTCGCTATAGATCTGGGACCGTAGGTCTGGGACAGCGCTTTTGGCTCTACATCAACACTGTTATTTTTGATAGATAAAGGGACTACGTGTAGGATTTTACATGCATAAATCACTTTAAATATATATGAACAGGTTGTAATTTAACTTTAAGAAATTAGACCTTCCCTGACTCTCAGCGCTGCGTAGAACAGCCTGTGGGCTGAGATCCATTATATTTGAATTGGGACGATTTTGAAGCACGCTCCTAAGTGCCCTAGTATATAAAGAAGAGCTAGCTTCAGCCAGTTCGCATTTTTGTGTAGTTAGCTGCCGAGAAATGGACTCAATTCACAGTTCAGATGTCACACATTGAGCGCACTCCAGTTTTTCTTCAAGTCCTGGTTGGTGTCCGAAAACTGCAGACTGTTGTCGACAGACTGCTAGCGTAAGGCTACCCTCATTTGTATATATCCGTAAGCGCTGACACCACGCAATAAGCAGCGTCAAAGAAGGAGCATATTTGTTGCTAGAATACTAAATCAAAACTTGCGGTGTACAAAAAACATCTACGTGGTCCAAAAAGACATTAACCACCATTTTGAGGGGATTTCGACTACTTCCACCAAAGCATAGGAAGAGTGCCTTCCCTAGGGGACACGTCTAGGAAACGTATGCTAGTCCTCTCCCCAATTCCCCGAAGTGGGGGAAAGTAGGCATCTTCTCGATGACCCTCTATACGTCGACTGCTACTCCTCGGGAGCGGCTACGCTAACAGTCTAATTACGACACCGATCCGCCGCCGCCGCAAGGTCGAGCCGAAGTCGGCGAGGAAGCTGGCGTACACAATTCATTGACCATGAGTAACCTGAGCAGCATTCCACTCCCTGCATTGTGGCAATAGAGGGTGGGAGAGAGAGAGAGAGAGAGAGGGAGAGAGAGAAAGAGAGGGAGAGAGAGAGATAAAGAGAGCATAGACAGCCATGGCAGCCCTGGTGAATTATGTCCCATCCGGCTCTCCCTAGATCCCTCTCCCCAGTCCCACTACAATGGCTGTAACCAGGTAGTATCCAACACACACTCTTCTCCTTTAGGCTGTTAATGAACACACGGGGGGTTGACGCAGAATAATGTTTATAGGTCACCTGACCTGTTGAGAACAATGAGGACAGATCTCGTAATGGCCAATGGGTAAACCCCCCCCCCCCCCCCCCCGCCAAACATCACACTTAGATGAATGGATGTCCATCTCCGAATGGATGGGGCTCCTTATTATTCTGCTGGGACTTTGGTTCCATCATGGGCCAGCGGACATACTTTTAAACTTGAGATGTAATTGTTGTTTGGTTTAGGATAATGAGTAGGATTTGTAAACACAAGTTCAAAGTTGGCCCCTCCTCCCCCGGCTGAATGACACCAGAAGCGCTCGCCAGCGGGTGAAAGCCCACCCCAAAATTGACTCTCGTTTTTGAGACGGAGTGTTTTGCCTAAGTACAGACGTCCGTAAGGGACTAGGTTGAAGTTATTAAGTTAAGTTATTGAGATCTGGGGCCGTAGATCTGGGACAGCGCTATTGGCTGGGCGCCCCTGACTGCACAAAGGTTGACGCCCAGGAACATCCCGAACAAAGTATAATAAGAAAATACAGGCAGAGGGCGGGGTCTGTAAAGATAGACACTGCCACACACTTAGTGGTTCATAAGTGATGATTGAGAGGGATTATTTTTGGATAAGAGTCGTCTATACTTTTTCTTTTCACATCTCATCGTGCCTTCATAGTACCATGAACACAATAACATCACCCTTTTCAGCACATTTACCCTAATTGACTCTCACTAAATCTCCAGTATAGTTGACATCTCTGACTTGAGCCCTCTCTCCATAGAGGATTGAATATATGTTGTCCCTGTGTGCCTTTTTTCTTAATTAGAGAAGAGAAATAGCATTACATGTTGTTGTGAAAAGCAGTTTCAAAAATGAAACCCTTACTCACGCGTGCTAATTAATGAAGCAAAGTTTTAGCTTTAAGAAATAATCAGTTTTATTGTTAACACCAGTATAATGTGCAGAGTTTTACAGATATCTGGGTCCGACTACATTTCCCTGACCGAACAACAAAGTGTGTGTGTCAGTTCACGAAGTCTGAGCACCAACTATCCCTGACCCGGGATGTTATATACACAAACAGTGAAAACGTCATAACAAGGGCTGTCTCATCCGGCTGTTGTCGTCTTCCCACCTCGTCCTCGTGGTATCTGACTCCCAGCATGTACATCCCAGCCTGCCTGTTCTTTACTATCATATGACCTGCACTTTGCAACCAACTGATCTCACACTATCTATTCTACACATGTCACCAACAACGTACTCATTCTGATTATGAGGAGTTGCTTTTATAATTATATGCCTCTGCTTATATCTCATGATTCTGTCTTACTTCAGCAGAAAGGCACCCAGATTAGTGTGACCCTAATTATTGGTCATATGGTAGATATAAAATATAACCATACCTTTAATATGCATGCCAAATAACTTGACAGAATACAACAAAAGGTATCAAATATGACATTATGAACCAAGGGTTATGTTTGATCAAAGAGACATACTGTATATACACATATTTACTTGTATTTACACATATTGTCTTCATTCAGTTCTGTCCAACCATGTAATACAGACATAATGACATGTTAGTGCAGCAGGAGAAAACACTAGAAGACCAACGGCCGCCGTGCCTGACAGACAGCCATGGCCAGGATGCAGCTCCATGGTTAGTGGTTAAACACTTCCAGGAAAAGCTACAGTAACACGGCACATAGCAGGATAGTCTAGTCTAGCGGTGAGGGTGTTTCACTCCTAGCCGAAAAGGTTCTGGGTTCGAACCCCGTAGACATCCTTCAGCAAACTTCAATGCAAGTCACTTTGGATAAAAGCCAGAAGCCATGGCGGCTACCTGCCTTATACACTGCCGGTTTCTCTGGAGGTTAAGCAGGGCTGTTCCGGTTCCTCCTTGGATGGGAGACCGTCTTTCGGATGAGACGTTAAAACCGAGGTCCTGACTCCCTGTGTTCACTAAAGATCCCATGGCACTCGGCGCAGGAGTAGGGGTGCTGACCCCGGTCTCCTGGCCAAATTCGCAACCTGGCTCTTGTACCAACATGGCCACCTAATCATCCCCCGGTTTTTAACTTGATCACCTCTCCACTGTAAGAGCCTACTGTGTGGTGTGGATGCGACACACTGGTAGTGGATGAGGTGTCATATCCCCCCCAAACACACTCACTATTTAAAGCACTTTGTCTTGAAAAGCGCTATATGAATTATTATGATGACGGGCATATAGAGGACTCCTATTGGGTTGAATAAAGAGACAACACACAGCGAGTGATACATAGAAGGGGAGAAGGTCAGAGCACACTAACCAAAGCATGGCTGACCGCATTCACATTTCATTGTCTTGATATCCTCTATGCAGAGGAGAGGTGAAATGATAACAGACAGCCTCACACTCATTCCATTGGGTCTATAGACTCGTTCCTTCGCCACGCAAATGAGCAGGTGGCAACGAGACTGTGACACTGTCTCCTAATCTTCCAGTTTGTTTAATTCAAACGACTTAGCGACGCGTCGCTGGTATAGGAAGGTCATTCACGGCACGAGTGAGGAGTCAACGCTGGAAAAGGGCAGGGTAGTGTATCCTACTGGTGAGGGTGTTTGACTATCAGACCAAAGGTACTGGGTTCGATGCCCAATGTCCACCATCTAACCTGTAAGCATCATTGAGCAGGATACCTAACGCCCTTACCTGCTACTTAATGACCTGTATCTGAATTCACTGTCAGTCCCATTGGATGAAAGCCTCTAAATAGTAAATAGTAGTAAATAGAAATGCTGTAATGGCTCGTTTCAGTTTCACTGGTCAGTGACATCAGACATCAGGAAATTCTTACGACAATCAAATAGCTAATTGCAAACATTTGATGTGGATGTCAAATAAGTGCTAATGTGGGTGATGGGTAAATTTGATGATTTGTAACGTGTCCAATCAAACTTCCTGTCTATATTTGTCTCCATCACCCTAATCCATCGTCCAATCCTACTGAATGTGGTTTCTCTCAATATCCACAATAAAAGGCCATTTGGTCTAATAAAAACAACATTTCCCCAACATTCATCTTGCCGGACCCCAAGCAGATCATGTCCACTGTTTGCCGTTGGTCATCAGACCCGTCTTGGATCCGGGTCGTTTTCACTGTAGGCAATCAGTTTTGGGACAGACCCCAGGAAGTGGGGACGGTGCCAGCAGTGTGTTGTCAGTGTGCAGCTATTAGGGTGCAATCGGAGTCTACAGAGAAACTAGAGCACGCTAACGGCTAGCTAATGCTAACACGCGCACAGGGCTGCAAGCGGTGACAAACGATAGCATCGCGGCTAGCCCCAATCCTGCCTGGGTTTCACGGCCAAATTTAGGAACAAGTGTCACATTGCAGTATAGGTTTGGATCAACATGGTTTGGGAGATTTACTTGGATTGGATATAATGCAGTGTATAATTGAAAGTTCTTGAGTTTATTAGAGAAAATATTGTTTTTTGTTTTTTAATATTTGTTGGTTTGTTAATTGTTCGACTAACAGTCTATTTTTCTCTCTGTCTCTCTCTGTCTCTCTCTCTCCAGGAAGTGCTGAGGCCCCGGCCGCTAGCCAATCAGAGCCCAGTAAAGAGGAGAAACCAGGTAAGCAGTGGTGTGCACTAGTCATCTATAACTAATGAGTTGCCTAGTTAATCAACCTTTCCCTCCCTTTTGTTTCTGTTTCCTTTAGCACACAGTGAGTGAACGGCGACTAAGGTTGACCACGGCGATGAATTTCAATGAAACTGTTCTACCACATCCGTCTGTGTATGTATGTGTGTGTGTGTGTGTGTGTGTGTGTGCACGTGTGTGTTGTGTGAATGTGTGTGTGCGTGGTTGGCTGTCTTTGAAAAGAGACATTGCTTTCGTTGCCAAGATGCAGACCCTGTGATCATGTCTTTCAGTCGGGGTTCCCCTCCATCACCACTGTGCCTTTTATTTTCTTCTTCTTCTCCTGCTGACAGCGATGCACAGGCCGGGTGTAATACATGTACTGCAGAGGTCACCTATTCAAACCCTGTAATGGCCGACCCAAACGGCCAGTCTTTTAATTTAGCCGTTAGAGCGTTCTTAACTTAACAGCCGTCTGTTTCCTGGTTCAAACCTGTCTGATGCGAGTGTGTCTCCTCAATAATAAAAAAAAAGCATTTGGGTTTGTTCACTGTAAGAGAATAGAAGGATATGAAGATGATTTTGAAGTTTGAATGATACAACAGTAAGTCTTACATTTTGAATGTTTAATGACGCGAACGCTTGAATCTTATCTCCATTCCTCCTGACTGAATAAAGCCAAAATTGTTTAGCATATCTATTTTGGATTTCTTTGTGTTGTTTGGCGCTTATTTTATGACCATGTACTTAAAAAAAAGCTAATAATATATCTGACCAATGGCACTGTATGCGTCTTGACTTGACTTCCATGATTTAATTGAATCTACATTCTTCCGCAATATGCATAATACAAAGCCAAACTTTTCATTAGGTTTGTACATTGGCTTCCGTTTGTGTGGTTTGAAGTTTTGTGTTTTTAAAGAAGCATTATGTTTAAAGGGAATATACCTGAAGCTGTATCTCATCCAGACAACCAGGAGATAAGAGTGAGCATTCAAAGTCACTTTTATTTATGATTGTTGTGTTGTCGTTTTTCCTTTTCCACGAGAAACCCTGTCAAATACTCTACATGTCATAAATCACAACAGGAAAGAGGCAGTATCCAAAGACATCCAATTTAATCACTGTATTTTCTCAAAATAAAGCGCTTTTTAAGCAGTACAACCAAACAAAGTTTGTGACTTTTGTTTTTACTTTCAAATGAGTTCAAATGACTGGAGAATTGAGGCCAGGGATGGAAATGCTATAACCATTTTATTAGGAAAGAACTGTGTGTCATAGCGTGTGTGTGTGTGTGTGTGTGTGTGTGTGTGTGTGTGTGTGTGTGTGTGTGTGTGTGTGTGTGTGTGTGTGTGTGTGTGTGTGTGTTATAACTTGTGTATGAGAGGGCCGGCTAGTCAGGAATCAGAGAGGGGTCCCACTACAGCCACTGCTTCAATCTCCACAAGACCACCCTGGAGGAAGGGAGGGAGAAGGAATTATTATAATAATGAGAGAGACAGGCAGACAAGGCTAACAAAAAAATAAATCTTAATATCTGTGGCGACAAGCCACTGTGTGTGTGTGTGTGTGTGTGTGTGTGTGTGTATGTGTGTGTGTGTGTGTGTGTGTGTGTGTGTGTGTGTGTGTGTGTGTGTGTGTGTGTGTGTGTACCCTGGGTAGAGCAGCGACCTGGTAGGCAGCTCTGGCAGGGAAGTTACTGCTGAAGACTGAGGAGGAAATACACACCCATACGGTCATCATCGTTTTATTGCATTTCAGAACAGATAATGAAAGTTAAGTCCAACACAACTGCTTGAAGCGCTTCATTGAAGGTTTCCACTATGGCCGTTTATTAAGAAGATACACTTTGCTGAATGTAGAAGTACATTTGTCAGTAGAAAGTAAAACAATAATGTATCACTGTCAGTACAGCAAGGATGTCAATAGAAGAAGTTTCTAGGTGCACTATAATTGCTAGGTTTAGCCATCCTTTCTGGTATACAGCATGAAAATTAATCTCAAATTTGTATAATTGATTAATCGTTTGTCATTTATCAAGTACAAATACCAAATATTTGCTGCTTGATGCTTCAGAAATTCAAATGTTGTGTTCATGGATCATTATAAAATGAATACTTTAAGTGAATAAGTTTTTATTGGCTGCTTGCCAGATAAAGCAAGCAGAATTAAGACTCACTTTGGACTCTGATCACTTGTAATGGCATTTGCTATTACTTATGACAGTTTCTAGACAAATGATTAATCGCTTAATCAA